GACTCACTCGCTGCGAAGCGGACAAAACAGTCTAGCGAAGCATCTTTATATATATATTATCTAGTACTACTACTACTACTCCTCCTCCTCCTCCTCCTGCTGCTGCTGCTGCTGCGACTAGTACGACAACCACGACTACGACGACGACGACTACTACTACAAGTACTAGTAGTAGTAGTACTCTACTATTAAATTACTACTATTAAATTACTACTACTACTACTACTACTACTACTACTACTAGTACTACTACTACAACAACTAGTAGTAGTAGTACTACTACTGCCACTTTTACTACTACTACTACTACTACTACAACTACTACTACTACTACTACTACTATTACTACTAATACTACCACTACCACTACCACTACTACTACTACTTCTTCTACTACTACTACTACTACTTCTTCTACTACTACTACTACTACTATTACCACGACTAGTACTACTACTAGTACTACTAGTACCACCACCACCACGACCACTACTACTACTACCGCCAACACGGTTCTCATTGGGAGAAATGACTTGGGAGGGCAAAATGGTAGAAAAAACGATAGGTTTTGCGTTTGTCCCACTGGGTTGGATTACCGGACCCCTACTAGCACCACCACTACCACTACCACTACGACCACTACTACTACTACTCCTGCTACTACTACCACTACTACTACTACCACTACTACCACTACCACTACTACCACTACCACTACTACGACTACTACTACTACGACGACTACTACCACCACCAAGACCACTACGACCAATAGGGTTTTCAGTGGGAGAAAGGATTTGGGAGATAGGTTTTGAGTGGCTTACCACAAATCGCTCGACTGCTACTAGCACTACTATACTACCAGCACCTGGACTAGTACGAAGTGCTACTACCACCACCAAGAGCACCAATACTGGTACCAATATGGTACTCACTGGGAGATAGGACTTGGGAGGGCAAAAACGTAGAAAAAACGATAAGTTTTGCGTGAAGGTGAGGCTTGTACCGCTGCTACCACCACTAGTAGCACTACTACTACTACTACTACTACTGATAGTATTCCAGGGGTTTAGAACGACAGGGGTTTAGAACGGCTCCCAGAGATACGTCCAGCTTGTGCAGATTAATTGTAACCATGTGTGAAAATGATGGCTCTGCGACTGTGAGCGGCCTTGAGCATGAAGTAGAAGCAGAAGAAGAAGAGCCAGGAGCACACATGTTGAACCAAAAAAGGTCTTGAGGAAAAGGGTAGATTGGAACCAACGCCAGAGACGCTTCCTGGACTTGCAGGTGACGTCCAACAATTATAGAGACTCAATCAACACATTCGCTCATCGAAAACAATCCAAACAGACCTTTCTCGCAGTGCTCTCCATTCGTTGCGGGCCGGATAATGGTGGACCCAGGGGAGGCGCCAGACTGCGAAACTTGGCATTGATTAAGGCATCGTTGTCCTTTGCGTGGACAGCAGTCAAAACCGATGGCAAAAGCCGTGAAAATACTCCTACTGCTACTACTACTACTACTCCTACTCATACAACAGGAAAATGAAGGAAAAGAGAAGGGAAGAGGAACAGGAACACGAAAAGAAAATTGATTCCGTGTAAAAACGCGCAAAAAACGATAGCTTTTAATTCGACCAAGAGCAAAAGAAATGGATGGGGAAGAGGAAGAGCAAGAGGAAAAGGAAGAGGCAGGGCAGATTCCGCTTCAAAACACTGAAAAAACGATAGGTTTTCATTCCAAAAAAAGAAAAGGAAGAGAAGAAGGCGTAAAAAAGCTTAAAAAATATAGGTTTTGAGGAAGCGCCGGAGGAAAAGGAACAGAAAGAGGAAAGGCGGATTCCACTTCAAAACGCTGAAAAAACGATAGGTTATCATTCACCAAAAAAAAGAAAGGGAAGGGCCAGCTCCGACTATGCCGCCAACCTATCCACTGCCACCTGGACAAGCAGGACAGCCTGTGCAGCAGGTACCTCCCGGGCCACCATGTGTGCCGGGAAGATCCAGTGCGGTTGCAGTAGAACCTACTACGCTCCACAACTACAAGCAGCTGACAGCCATGCGCTTCAACCTGGACCACGGCATACGTGAGGTGGCGAAGGTGTCACAAGGCTTGGAAGGGATTGCATCGAACACAGACAGTGCATCTGAGGTGGAGTCCGTTGCAGATGGAGCTGCTGCTTTGAGTGGGGCTGCTGCGCCCGTACTGAGGCAGGCGCGTATGCTCTGGTAGAAGTCGATCCATCAGAGCTGTGAAGAAAGACCCGGCCCCAAGAGAGCGGACCGGGGCGGCAACCGCCCTTCTTCCCACAGGCGCATCTAGCTGCTTGAGACATGCGCCCAACTTGGCAAAAGATGGAGACACTTTGCTTGAACTTATGGATTTTGTGCATTCAGAAATTCCTGTGCACTACACGTCTTTCAGGAAAAAACACAAAAGTCATTCAAACGCACATTTTCTGATTGTAGCCCTTTGGGCTGTATTGGGTAGCATTTTTCCAATTGTGAAGCCTGTCATTCGGTGACAAATGAGAACATGCAGCTTTGTCAGAAGTATTGAGATACCTTTGTGGGTCGAAGGGTGCGCCCATCCCAAAGGAATGGCGTCCGCTGCTCCCTCAAGAGATTTGGAATGATTTGGAGCTTGTCAAACCGGCAGGGCTCCATTTTGTTGAAGAAAAGTCCCGTGTGACAAATTTGCTCCCCGTCCAATACACGTCTTTTCCCGTCCTATACACGTCTTTCCCACCCAACACACATCTTTCCCTGTCCGCTATACCCTACAGTTACGAAGCTTATGAATCTGTGGTGGGACATGTTATAGCAGGATATGTCAGAGAGTGAGTTCAAGAACTGCACGCCACAGAGTGCTAGACCGGATCCGTATCAAAATGACATGGGAGATTCGGAAGTTGAGCTGGAAGCGCAGGCTCTGGCGCAAGTGACAAGCAGGGCCTTCTTGTGTGTTTCAAGACAGGACCATGCTCACAGAAATGCACAAGCACAAGTTTGTGTTCAAGTGCACAGATTTCTGTAGAGTACACGGAAATCTCCTCCAAACTCAAGTGCGCAATTTTTTTTGCCCAATGAAGATGCAGGTATATTGCATACATGGAGTGTCTGGGTAATACATAAGTGAATCACGACCATCGCCCATATGTTGGCACACAACGATCCGGAGACCGACAAACCCTTCATGGTCGCGGTGTAGAGAAACCGTGTTTTTTTACCCAAACCATGTGTCTCCAAAGAACCGGCCCAAAAACCACCGATTTCGGTTTGGTTTTTGATGTTTTTTGTTATGTCTGACGTCCTTCCTCTCGTGACCATTCTCCGTCTCCGCGGCGTCGCGGCGACTCGAGGCGCTGGACATTCGTTTGCCCTCCTCGATGCCTTGCTTTTGCCGGGCTTGGCGTGGAAACCTGGAATGGTGGCAGATCTGAGGGGATCTGGTCGTGAGATTCTTGTTTGTTTCGGCGATTGACCTGCAAAAAGGCATAACAAAATGAACAAAAATATCAAGTCGGAAGCTGAAAGGAAATGGAAGGGGTTAGATATTGGTTAGAAGACCTGGAAGAAACGAAAACATACATGAAAGCAAAGATCCTGAGTTTGGATTGGCGGGGCACTGAACAAATGCCATGTTTTTTAGGAAGTGGAACCATTCTTGAGGCAAATTTAGATGTTTTGATTGTTCACCAGTAGCATTTGCTCTCCCCTGCAGGTGACGTCAAAAATCCACCGAATTCATCGACGGCCCACCCGCCGATTCGACGCCGGTTGCCTTTACACGTTCTGGTCTCTACCATCTCTTGATTTTAAAAGACCGAGTAAAGAGCAAACTCTACTTAGAAAATAGAAACCAGTTTCTGTTCCAAAGGGAAGCTTCCGACAAGATCACCACGCTTGGAATGCCTTGATGAGGTTTATCAGGCCGACCACTTGTTGGGTTTTTGGACCACCAGTTGCAGGAAGGTGTACTCACCAAGGAACAAATTGAAAACGTGCAGTTGAAAGTTCAAACGATGTCCAAAAGGTTGTTGCGTCAGCCCAACAGCAAACACCAGACACCTTTATTTTTTTCAGTGTTTGTTACCCTGCCAGCTTGGATCCAACATCAATCAGAGGCGGCTACCCTTAAACTTAAACCCATGTTCGTGAGAGGGAGGCTCCTCTTCGACGAACATGGAAATGGAGTTCATCACCTGTTCGTAGAGGAAAATAGTCATCCAAGGTAGGTCAATGTAGGTGCGTGTATGTGTGTATTTGTATATCTGGATCTTCCAATTATGCAAATCATCTGCCGAACTTCGCTGGCTTTATAGATGAAAAGGCAGAACATGTTGCAGTACTATACGAGATGTTCTGGGCACTGGGTTGATGGAATCAGAGCCTCTTTGAAGTCCCATGTGCCTGAACAAGCCTTTGCTTTGGCAGTGAAGAAAAGAAAGTGGCCGATGCTCAAACCATATATATATATATATGCACTCGTTACTAGTAGCGATGGCCTCCAACCTACTAGCAATGGCCTCCTTCCAGCTCCTACCGAGGAGGTGCCCCCGCAGCAGCCCGGCTGGCGGCGCTACTGCGACGAGTCCGGCGCGGCCCCTGGCTACGGTAGGTTGACGATGTCTGGTCATGTGTTCCGGTCGAACAAAAACCACCCTGGCTCCCCTGTGAAAAACCGCCATATAAGGCCCAACAGTAGGCTCATGCAAGGCCCCTTCACGTGATGTGCAGCAGAGTTGGAAGCCTGTCAGGTCTGAAATCTCTGTTGTGAGTGTGCTTTTCCCTCCTAAAGCGCGAAATGCGGCCATTGAGGGAGGTCGACCACTTTGGAAGAAAGTGCTGATCCAGTTTCAGGTAAATGCTTTGTTTAGTTATCCCCTCAGAGTCGCAAATCTCTCATTTTGGAAAATGGTAGTGGCGGAGAATGACTCACAGGTGGAGTAAAATGAGTCATTGGGAAGTTCTGGGTATGGTCTTTGAAGGCGTGGGTTTTCGCAAACCTGACCTGACCCACATCCATTTGGCCACAGCGACCCTTGTGGTGGAACACCGCGGCGATGTTATAGAGGTCGTGGTCATTGTCCTCATCCATGTAGATGCAGACAGCATATTGCAACAACTCAACAGCTCGCTGTTGGCCTCACCTGTTTGGGAGCTAGATTTGGCGATTTGAGGAGAAACACAGCACCCCACCAAAAACAGAAGGGTCAGAAAAGAAGGTTTCCTTTGTCTAAGGGTTTCCTTAACTAATGGAGGAGGTCCAGGTCTGGAGGTCAAAAACATGTCTTTCTGCGTCTTCCGAAGACCGTTTGCAGAAGTGGTCGAACATCTAGCAGCTGTCTGCAGAAACGTTCCTGGATCCATTTGTTTTTGTTTTTGCCAGGTTAGCTGCCAGCTTGATGGGAGCTCCACCTTTCACACAGCTTTTGTTGTGTCCGAAAAGCAACCTTCCTACACCAGCACCAGCTATGTACTAGTATCTGGCCCCTGGGTCAAAACCCAAGGACCTTGGGTCAAAACCGAAAAGGAACAGAATAGACTACAAGACTTGGTCAGATCAACCTGGGCTCCGGGTCAACAGAGCTCGTTTTGGACTCACGACCTCGCCGCCGAAAAGGGCTCCGCGCTGTGCGATCGCGCTGCGACCAAACGCACTCATTCGCTGACCGGTCATCGCACTCTCGCTCCGCGGCGCGCGGGAGCGCAACGCTTTGTTCCTAGTAGCTTCTTAAGTTACTATTATATAGCAAATGAGCTACTAATAGCAATGCCCTTGTTACCAGTAGCGATGCCCTTGTTCTTAGTAGCGTCCTTGCTACTATAGTATGGCCAGGAGCGCGACCTTCGTAGCATCCTCCCTTCCGCTCACCGTTCGTAGACATGCCTAGAGGCTCCGATCGCTTGCGTGAGGCCGGCAGTATTTGGACGTCACCCCTCAGCTCTCCATGGTCCTCGAGCGGCAGCTCTCCGATGGTGCGACGAAATGACACCGCGAGCGGGCGGAGAACGACACGCGGGCAGCAAGACACCTGACCGGGGTGGGGATTGGGAGGGGTTTTCGGGATGAAATCGAAAAGTTTTTTTTTTGTGTGTGGGGTCCTTTTATGGCCTTGGCGGCCAAGATGGTGGAGGTTTAGAGACCCGGCAGTTTTGTGGAATGATTTCCGTCGATGTTATTCCCGGTTCCTGGAGGCAAAGGCCAAGCATGTATTGCCCTGGTTCGAAGTTCGGGGTGCAGGCAGATGACGGTGCAGTTGACCTCTCCTTTGTGTACTGCGGTTTGGAGATTTGTCCTTGTCTTGGGTCTTCCTGTGCAACTCACCAGGAGCTCTGTGTGGTTGGAAAATAGACAACGTGGTACTTTGTGGCCAGTGCTAGTGGAGGATTCTCTGCTCCTGAGCAACCACCACTTGTCCAAAGGGAAAATGCCTTGCCGAAACCATCTGCATTTCAAAATGATCATGCCACTAAAAGCAACTATATACCCTACGCACCCAAACCCAAAAAAATTGTAGGGTCGATGGAAAAAACTAGGGTTTCTGAAGGAAACCCCAGGTTTCCAAACCAATACTAAAGTACGGGTTTAGTACGGGTATGTACGGATTAAATATGGGTTTAGTACGGGGTTTAATATGGGTTTAGCACGGTTTAGAAAAACAAGACCTGAGGTTTTAAGAACAAACCTGAGGTATTTTTGATTTCACAAGAATTTTTCGAGGTTCCGATTGAGACCCGACAAATTTATAGGGTTTGGTTGCGTAGGGTAAGCAACTTCATTGTTATATTAAAACACTAACACCATAAAACACCATATAAAATAAAAAAACCACCGATTATAGCAATGAGACAACTGTCTCTCCACCCATGTCTTTCAGAAGGCCGTCCTTCATCGCGGCGTGCCGCCAGGTGGCCGTCGCTTGCGGCTCCAAGGGCTGGAGACGTTGCCCGACACCCAGTGCAACGCACCGGCGGGGCCGATGACATACCGGGTGGCTTTGTCGGATTTCTTCTTCGAGATGCTGCGACGATGACGTCAAAATTGCAGGCAAAGAGGCAGCATTAAGAAGCGCCGTCTTTTGTAAACCTGGACATGCATTGGTGTCAGGTGTATGTTTTGATCACATATGATCAAGTATACACTTGCCGTTGAACCAATCGCTTTGGAGCAGGCAGAAGCGCCCTGGTTTGGGAGTTCTGAGCTTTGTGGGACACAAAGAGCTGGTTTTCCTGTCAAAGCTGCCAGCAGGTCGGAAAGGGGGGCGGTACGGGCGATGTGTTTCTCCTTCTAAAACGGATGTCCATCGTCTTGGGACTCATTGGAGAAAACGAGTGTTTTCTCACCATGCGGCTGAATGGTGGGCACCACCACGAATTTTCCGGCGCCGTTGGCCTGGTCCGTTGGGCCATTTTCGGCGAACCAGACATGGAGATCAGGTCGCTGTCAGGGAAAGAGTTCCCCAAAAGTACTGCTACATACTGCTACTAATATAGTATTCAGTTGTCTTACCACTTGATTTTACAAGGACTGATAGGTTGTTGTCCCATGACAGCATTTAGTTTGGATGGGATAAGATTCCAGATGAATCTATATTAGGAAATTTATCGCAGACGAATCGGACCGCACGCGTTCCGTGATCCTCGATCATATAAGACAAATCATGAGGCATGGTCGAAGTGCTGAACAAAGACCACCCACATTTTGAGACAGGAATTTCACATTGTTCGGACTTGTCCCTTCTTAGACTGAACTCTCATCACATGTCACGACCTGCTTTTCGGGCGGAAGAGAAAGTACGAGCTTCACATTCACATTCACGCCTTTCGCTCGCTCAGCTGATCAGTCCAACTTCCCAGCTGGTCCCACTCGGTCCCCTTTCACCGAGGCAGCTCACGGACCCCTTCCCGGACCTTTCGAAGATCCTTTGGCTCCGCTTCCTGCGCCCGAGCCCCAGCGGCACCCGAAGGATCGTCCCGACCGTGTCGACCGGGGCGCTTGCGCAGGGCGCTTCGTCGCGGGTCACGAGGAAGAGGGACCAGCGGAGTCCTCCAAAGTCGCAAGTTCGGTGGACTTGGTGGACCTGGTTTTGGGAGGGTCAAGTCCTCCGCGTGGCTCCTGGTGACAGCTATAGCTCCTCACTCAGGTGCGTTGGACTCTGGCTCACACACCCCAAACAGCTTCTAGGTCCCTCTAGGCACGACTGGAGCCCTCATTTAGGGTCGGAGTTCTTGAATAAAGCACTCTTAAATCAATGGTGCAGGAATTTCCAAAGCAGGAAGGAACGCCAGGGCACCATGGAGGACCCTCCTAGGACCCTCCCGGGCAAACACAAATGGGTTGAAACCCACTGCGCCTTCTACTACGTGGCCAGCCATTTCCCTCGGACCACATGGGGGGAAGAAGACCGTCAAAGACCGCGCGGCTTGCGGACCGTCCACGGCGCGCACGAAGCGCGTGAACAGGGCAGTAGCCCGCCGGACTGTCCGACCTGCGTCGTTCGAATCCGACCCACTCAGGTGATGGGGAAGAATCCTCCTGCGCCATACGCTTGGAGAACGGCCTGGGTCCACTCACTGAGGCAGCGAAAGAGGGCGGAATTGAAAGCTGAAGCGAAGGACAATGCGAAGCCCACGGCGCCAGCGAATTGGTAAAATGAATTATAGAGAGATAGAGATAATAGAGAGAGAGATAATAGAGAGAGATGGAGATAGATAGATAGAATAGATAGATAGATAATAGATAGATAGATACCCTGTGAACCAAAGTACTCGTTAAACTTGTTCGTTTGCAATTCATTCATATGAACGTACTTGACTTTAAAAGATCGTACTTTACTTGTCTACAAGCACCTCTAAGTAGACCTATTATATATCAACCATTTGGTTCACAGGGATTCAGGGTTGGGATCACCTGAAAACCATGCCCGGAAACGTCGGATCGGCCCTTCCTTGCAGTGGAGGGGTTCAGGCGGGTACAGGTACGATCAACATATGCACCTGCAAAAGTACTCATGATACCATGCCCGAAAGAGATCTTGTCTAGACACTTCCCTCCCTGTGGACCCAAAATGCTTGCTCCGAAGGTATGTGGGGGACAGAACCATCTTCCCAGAAAGTGGCGACCAAAAAAATACTGAGCAAGTGTTGGGGGACCTGTTGACACGGTGTGGATACTTCCATCGTGGAGACCCCACAAGAGCTCAACCAAGGACTCTAGCAGGAAACCAACCATCTAGGGGCACAGGATCAGGACATCTGGCACCAACACAGCATCTAAAAGCCACTAGCGTACATCCACAGGGACATGCATGATCCCTTTTTTCCTCACCACAGTCGTCGCTCGATGAACACGGCGATGGGATCTGGACATGAAGCACTATGAAGCGTGCTCTTCGAAAGAGATTCTAGGCTATGCATCTAGCAATTTTGTCACTTTCAATTGCCTAGCTATTTTGGCCATACCTAATTGAAACCAGGGGTGGGTCATGTGCCACCACCTATCAGAACCGCGTTGCCTATGACGAGGATGAAGGTGCCCTCTGGCGTGATTAGTGCCCATGGGTCGTCGCCGAATCGAACACGACCTCGATGTCGACCGTATACACGTACATGTCATGACCTGGCCCAGAGGACAACATCAGTGTGCTCAAGCATGTGGCCAGACACGTTTCGGGACAAGAACCATGCATCAAAGACCAATAGCCTAGGAGCTTCATGTCGCAGGTGGACCATGCATGACCGCGCACAAGGCCAATATTGCAAGGTCTAGGCCTATCCTATAAACCCTGCAGCTTCGATTCCGATCGATCGATTTTGCGCCACGCCGGACTCGAAGCCCCGAGACACCATGGTGGAAGTTCTTCAGGCTTGGTTGACGACCTGATTGTCTGGATCCACTATTGCGCGCATCATGTCTGCTGCCTGGGGTGGAGCAAGACCTGCAACATCTCGACCACCTTCTCGCGGCCAGGGCGTTCCAAACAAGCTTCTGAAACGATCTTGCAGTGCAGATGGTACTCACACACGGAACCGAAGTCCAGTCCTACAAGATCAGTCGTCTCACCTTTAAATTCGAGTGATCCCCACCATCTGGGTTCTGTTCACCATTCTTCACCCATGGCCAAGGACAACAGCAGGACTGCCATCACCACAAAACAAGAGGAGGACACCATGCTGGCCAGCAGGGCTGGAGGACAACAGCAGGACAAAATGAACCGAATGTGAAAAAAGGCATGGGGTTCACTGGCACAGCCGAGGACAACAGCAGGACAACTGCAAGCACCACGAGGACGAGACAACAAGCGCTGCCCTGAAGGGATCACATGGCACACCGAGATGACATGCATATAGAGCTCAACGGATCGAGCATTCGCAGTAGCCCTTGACCTTACGAGCAGTTAGACCTTGACTTGCAGAACTGAAAGGCGATCCACCGGCGCTAGAATGCAATTAGGCCTTTAAAGGAGGGAGCGAGGGTGAACAGGTCAGACGTGATGTGACATCTTCGTTGGCCAGCGTCGTGATGTTTTGCAGGACAAGGGGGTGACAAGAAGAGGACAAGAGGACGGGCAGAGTTCGGATGACTGCGTCCCATGACACCACTTATGCTTCTTTGGCCAGCTCTCTGTTAACGTGCCCTTTCAAAACCTGTCTCTCTTTATTCCTTCTTTATCCTTAAAAAAATCAGAATAGAAAACGATCGATCGATCGGCTAACGGTGCTTAAACTGAACTCTCGGGTATGGGTCAAATTTGATACCCTGATCCCATCCAGCTGGGCACCGGCGCTCGTTGTTCCCTGGATCCAGTCCTGCATCGTTTGTGATCCGAGGCTGCTTTGGCGAGAAGAGCACTTGGCTGCCCCAGCTGACTTGCAGGCCAGGGTTTTGTCCCCTAATCGATCCCCGTATACAAGTCCAAGGACCAAGTTAAACCTGATATCCTTGACCTATTGCTGGTTTTGCAGGATATAGGTCCCAAAAGATTAATTGAAGGGCTCGTGCTTGCGTGGCCTAAATTTCCTTTCATGGCCTGTTGACCCCCATCGACACCCATCGATCGACGCCCATCGAAGCCCAGCGGTGAGCGACATCGGAATGGACCCGGTATTTAGATTCCATATCAGATCCGGAGTTCTATATGATTTTAAACATGGCTCGTCGAACGTACCCCCATCGATGCCCAGCGACGAACGACTTCACCTGCGTGTATCCAGGGTATATTATACATCGATTCGATGCGATCCTATATAGTATTTCTTTTATGTGGAGCCCCAATTTCTGAGCGGACCGAACAGGGAGATCCCTTTCAGTTTTTGGTCAACCTGCTTGGTTGCCCCTTTAAAGGAAGGAGCCATGCGCAGCTATGTGGTCCGGCGATACAAGATCTCGGGGAGGCTCTTGGGTTGGGGCCCGGTTGGGGGGCTCTTGGTTTGGGTTGGGCCATAGAAGATCTTAATCCACCCGCAAAAACCAGCGTCGACAATGCACCTGAACGAGTACTCCTGAGGGGGCTTTCCGGACTTGCATTTCAAGCTACCGGTTTGGACGGCTACTCATGCAATGGCTATCCCTTAAAAAAGACAGATCCCTGCAACCTTATATTACGGATCATCCCTCCCCAAAAAATGAACCCGGACAAATGGTCTGTGTTCCACCCTGTGACCCATGCATCCAGACCAACACCACCTGACCATTCCATCTCCTCCGTGTTGCTTCAATCTTCGCACCTGGCCAGGAACGCGAAGGGCTCCAAACGACTGGAGAGGCCTTAAGTCGGTGCTGGCGACTTTCGAGGAGGGGACAGGTTGGAGGCCGTTGCTCGTACTATGATGGAGGCGATCGCTAGTAGGTTGAGGCCTGTTGAGGCCATTGCTGGTACTAGGGTGGAGGGTAGGGTGGAGGCCCATGTACAATGATCACCACCCAGGTCCAAAATCAAGCCATCGATATCTACAATCAACCCCTCCATGCTCGAGTGGAAGCAAAAACGTTTCGCACTAATCGCTTGACGTTGACGGATCTGGGCGCAAAGAGTTCTTGATGTCCTGGCCACAGCCAGAAACCTCGAGCAGCTACTAGGGTGGAGGCCATGGCTATACAGCGGAGGCATTTTTAATTGTACAAATTTTGTGGCACGCGGTAAAAGCTAGGAGCAAGCTGATCCCTCGGATGCAAATCCATCGGTGCCTGATGACGCCGTGGCTGCAGGCCCCAAGTCAAAGACCTCATATTTGTAGTACTCGTTATATTATACATCGGTGTGTGTGTGTGCATGTGGTTCTCTAGTCGATATATCCGTCATGCTCGTGTTGTTTCCATGCTGTGCCATGCTATACCACGTTCTTTGCAAGCCTAGGGGAAGATCTACCAGAACTAGCTGACAAAGACGATGATGATCTCTCCGATGACTCTGGCACGGATGAGGGCCCAGAAGAAGAAGAGCTGGAATCCGATCCGATTGTGGAGCGCGTTGCGGAAGCCACTGCGCAACCTGTTTCGGGCCCTGCCATTGCATGTGGCAAGCCGTCTTCTGGCTTTGTTTCATGACGAGGAAGCAGAAATTAAGGATGAGCCCGGCATTGCTGTGACAGCTGCCGAGGACATGACGTAATCACGTTTCGCTTAATTTTTGGCCACCGGTAAACCCCATCCCACCAGATCTTGTTCATGTAGGCCTATATAGCCATGCAACTCGACGCTGGCTTCTTGCGGCCTTCTGAAGGTAGCTCTCTGAAGGAGATGCGGCCGCCGATGGATTTGCCAGCGGCGCTTCCGAGATCGTTGGAAGATGCAGCTCAAGAGGTGTGTGAGAGGATTGGGGCTGGAGAGGAGCAATTCCAGCACAGAGGATCTTTTGAAGGTGACTTGCAAGAAATTTAATTGCACCATCTCACCGATAACCACAGTGTATATCGATCGACAAGAAATTGACCGTCGACGTCCCCCCTCATGATCATGTGCTCGTTATTTTGTTTTGGCAATCGATGAGAAAAGCTGCACGGGACTCTGAGCGCAGAAAGACTGAGGATTTGTCTGCCCGGGGTCGTGGCAGAGGAAGGGGTAAAGGGAGGGGCAGGGGTAGGAAAAGAAAGGCTCCAGATCTAGCTAATATGGACGAGCCTGATCAGAATCCAGAGATAGGGAATTGTTCGAAGAGGATCAGGATATCAGAAAGAAGTTGCTGTTCGAAGAAGAAGGATCTGATGTAGACGCTAGGGGGCAAGCGTCATCAACACGCGCACAGGTCGTGGTATCAAGTTCTATCAATCTAGATATATTAAATTTGGGAGGCTGCAAAGAAGCCGGAGAACCCAATGCAGGCAAGTCGGATCCAATTAGAAGCGCCCAACTTCTTCCACCAGCCGATCTACTAGCTAGTACACTTGCATGTACATGTGACTGAGGAGAAACTCGAACAGCGCATTAACTAGCACATGGCGTGTATTTTTTCTCAGGCCAAAGGAGATGGCGCTTCAGGCAGCGCTGGAGGTTCGAAGACTTGGGTCTTCGGTTTGCCATGGTCTTGTAGGTTGGCTAGGTCGGCAAAGCAAGTTTCGCGCTGACTATGTTATGCTCAAGCATACAGGCAGCACACGGCTCATTCTTTCAAATCAACCGCAGGCGCTGGCATCGTTACGTTGGCCGCGACTGGCCTTGTCGAGCGAAAAGAGCCGAGTGCGCAACTGCTTTCATTTTGGGGACACAACTGAACAGTATAGAAACTTATCATGCTACATCACACAATAAGCGCATGGCCTATATGGCAAATAATATTAAGGCTCGAAAGGCACGACTTAGTATATATAATCGCGCTCAATTCTGGATCCGGATGTGAGCCAGGAGTTTGGTACCGGCAGCGGTACTGGTTGCACACCGGTGCTGTCCAAAGCACCAAAGCGCAAGAAGGATGACCTGACGCCTTCTCGCTGGCCGAAAAGCCGGCAAAGAGCCGAGGTGGAACACACGTTGTTGGGACGTTGATTGTGTGTGAGTTTTTGGCGAGAGGCGGTCAAAGAGGCAAACATTGAGCGCTTGAAGAACTATAAATGCACCAACATGTTTTCTGGTCACGCAGCTGACTTCTCAGGAGCTTGCCAAATCGACAGGTCATGTCAAATGACGATGAATTGAAGTGCTTCCTGCCTGGGTCTCATGTCTAGACCTGCAGTCATAGGTGATAGGTCTTTGGACTTGTGATCATTTGGCAATTGTACAGCCAAGGGCACAACACGCGGCATTGGGCATGCTTGTCGAAATGGACAGCAGCGGCGTGCTTTTGAGACAAGCTCCATGCAAGAATATGTTAACGATTTTGGAAGATAAATTTGGTGTTTCTGATAAACGCGTTAACAGCTTGGAGTCATATACGTTGCAGGATCGACATGGAGGCGGTGTGGAAGCGGTGATCGGCGCGATGGTAAAAGAAAAAGTGCTCGGAGAGCTCGTGGGCAGAGTTAGGCAGGTTCAGCAGTCCATGTCGACGCGCACTAGTTAAACCAGTCTCCCGGGTCCGCAGGGATAGATAGATAGATAGAGATAGACAGGTAGATAGATAGATAGATAGAGAGATAGAGATAGATAGACATAGATAGATAGATAGACAGATAGATAGAGATAGATAGATAGATAGATAGATATTTAGATAGATAGATATAGGTATAGATACAGATATAGATAGAGATAGATAGATTTCTTAAGATGCACAAAAGAGTACCCTCCTTTGTAAGACCTCGAAACTCGTAGAACCTCTTCAGGCCTTCAAGTAACATTCCTTTGCTGAGTTTGAATGTGAGGGTACGGAGTGCTGCAGCAATCTGCAGCACACAATGGTCTAGGTCGTTTTGGAGTTTATGTTCAACCTTCAGGTGGCACTGACATCGTTTCGTTCTCGTTGAAACCATCACCCGTGGTGTGTGGCGGGTGCTGACAGCGCTTGCTGTTGAAGCGCTCGCTTCATTTGTGGCACATGCTGCTGCAGCTCTCACTGTTGAAGACCCTCCTGTGGACCACAAAAGGTTCGAAAGACAGAGCTCCATGGTACATGACATTTTGGGTTCTTCAAGATGTTACTTGAAAGTCGAGATATTGGAGAAGGGAAAATCGCGTGAGATTGCATGTGTGTGGGACAATCGCGTGATGCGGAATGCATCTTCACAGTTTCTTCTTGGCACTCACCTTTCTCGACTGAAAGGCACCACTCGTCTTGGACTGAAAGCACCACTTGTTACGTTCGTCGCGGCCGTTATTGTCCGATCCATGGCCGGTTCCGTCGGCCCGGTGGTTCGTTGGTGCACCGGTCGGGCCTGTCGAGACCGTGCCAGGTGGAGATGGATTCGGATGCCACGCTTCATGTGTTGACCAAAGAAGAGCCACTCGGACCACGAAGGAAGGGAGGGTTACAGGAGAGTGGGGGTGAAAGGGTGGTGTAATGTAGACTGTTGATGAAGAGAAACTATGAAGAGGCTCTACAATCCGAATGGGGGGTGTCTTTGTAAATCGACAGTCTACATGGTATAAGGGCAGGGCAGTCTACATGAGGTGAATGCAACCGTCTCCGGCAGTTCGACATGAGGATGTGCATGGATTGGGTTAAAACCGTGCCTGGTCAAGTTCACCTACAGCCACTGAGATGCCCATGTTCAGTCCATCCATTTGCCGGTTTGGGATTAGAGATGGCATGTCCAACATGGACCATGGGTTTAAAAAAATGAACAGATGTCAACCCACCAGCTGAAGATGGAGTGGGAAGACACAAAAAGACACAAAAGTTACATCCAATTCCCCCTGTACCAGCTAAGCCCGCCCTTCTCATCCCAGGGCCTTCAGGGTCAGCGGAGTTCCCTCTGCGCAAAAGGAGTCCGGTGTCAGATGGTTAGGTGTCCTTTTCCTTTTGGTGTGGTTGAAATTGCCATCAACCAGTGGTGAGGGTTTCTGTGGTCCCGCGTCTATTTCTACCAGCATGTGTGTTTTGGAGTTGGTTTCTATGTGTTTCCATCACAAAATGTCCGATTCCGCTCAGGTTCATCTCTTGCATTTTAGCGCATCCGGAACTCAGTGAACCTCTACGACGGCACTCCTATGTTAGAAACTCAGACGGTGTCGTGTTCTGTCGCAGTTGGGACGCCACAGAGTGGCAGCCAGCCCTGGCGTAGACTGGTCCCCCCCATTCGACCCTTCCAGGGAGGTGCACATGGAAGTCGGTCACCCGTCCCTGTCGCACGGTGTCCACGTCAGTCGTGCGGTGTCTGAACAAGCCCAAAGGCAGCAAGAGCGCTGGCTTCCAGGGTACAAAAGCCCCTGGAAGTCCGAAGATGACAGTTTGAACACTCGAACTTCAAGGGTATCCAATCGACTCTCCTACTTCTCTTGGGTCAGAGATCGAACTTGAGCATGGTCTGGTCGTCGACTTCCGCTGGGGATCGTTGGAGATAGTTCGAAATCAACTTCGCGTTTCTGGGGTTTGGCACAGGACGAGGCTATCTTGCCGGCTAACTTGTGGATGTTGCAATCAGAACTTTGGGGATGTCTGGCTAACCACCAGCGGCCGGCCGTGAATACTCGAAAGATGGGTATATACGGGACTTCCATCCCATAGTAGTGCCCCGTTCGTAGCGTCCGAACGCTCCGTTCATAACGATGCCGGGGGCCCGTAGCTTGGAATGGCAATTAAGAATCCCTGTCATTTGGTTGATTGACCATCCTTGTATATCCCCATGGGTGATCAACCAGGAGTAGCAAGACCAGAGCGTAGTTGGCCACAAGGGATTCCCTTCTCTTCAGTCCTACTTCTCATCTCACCAGTCCAACCTGAGTGTTGGGCACTACTAATTATCGTTGTCCTGGAAGTAGGATGTACATATACTCAATAGAGTTCTTTCTTGAGAAGTGTCGAAGCTAAGTGAACATGATGTTTTTCTTTTTGCCAACGGAAGCACGTCAAACTGGGTGATCCGATATATCGGCACGGCACGTCGGCTGCGGCGCGACATGAGAGCGGCGGTGGACTCCCCACAGTTCAGAAGCGAAGCATAGCGAAGCGGTCGGACGAAGAACGTGACGGTCTCCGTCCCAGCCACTGACCCGATGAAGATCGCACGACTGCCGTGCAGCTTCGCATGGAACCATGGTTTTATATTTAGAAAAACAACACTGAACTCTCTTTTGTGTTGGACACCACCCCTCACACGTTGGACGCATCCTCTTTTTTTGACGTTGGAGCCTTCCCCCAAAACCACCGATTTCCCTGCGACGCGGGCCTCGCGGCTCTTGGTCGTTTCTGCCTCGCCTCGTTCGCAGCTCGCATTGGACGCCTTGGGGGCCTTGACCTTGGACGTCATGGTGGTCGGGGGCGCCTGGCTCGACTGTATACCAATACGACCATGACGGTCGGTCGCAATACGCCCCCAAACTGGGGGGGGAGGGGAGCACATTCCTTCAAGGGCGGAGGTGAGGTGAAGGATGAGGTGAAGGTTGCAGTGCCCAGCTTGGATTAAGATGAAGGAACCGGGAAAACAATCATCCAAAGAGTCAAAAGGCTTCACAGGGCGGGGGATTTATACGGAACCTGTAGGAAAAGCTAGCTTTCAAAAAAGCAAAGACCAGGACTTGACTCCTGGCAGGTCTCTCTTGATGTGGGTTTCTCGTCAGTTAGTTGCATCCTGTATACCCTGGAAGCCCAAGATCATGTTTAAGTATTTACAATGGTTGATCTGGTTTGGTATGAGAAAACAATGGTTCTTCGATATAAGGACTGTTAAACCAAGGACATGGTTCGCATCCTCCGAGTGTCTATTTCGAGCCATGTCCAGACAACGGGGACATTCGCATCCTGGACATTGGACGTTCGCAAACTGCAAGAGAAAAGGACCGAAGGACTCACCACACCTCATTGATGCATCCATCCACACGGGTGTTGGTTCCCTGGACGTGTACTATAGAACACGAGTCTGGCGGTCCCAAACTTGCAAGTGGTCGACCGGATGACCCTGCTTTCAGGAAGGCCCTTGCTTTCAGTGGCAGGAATGCGCTTGGAGGCCGCTCGTAGTAACAAAGGGCATCGCCGCATCGCTACTAGCTATAGAGGGCATTTCTACTAGCTCCTAGTGTTCCATGTGTGGCTGCTAGTAGCGTCCGAACGCTCCGGACTCGAGTCGTGATGCCAGGAGCGTCCGATCGTGATGCCAGGCCGCTCGTCCATTCGCGTTCGTTTGGTTCGTCCACTCACCTCGCTTAGGAGTGGACCGCGGCGCAGTACTTGTGAACCTGGCACCGTGTTTTTGGACGACGTGGATCACCGTTGGCAGAGTTGGATGTTGTGATTAGATGATATCAGATACCTTAATCTAGTCGATTAGATGAGATTAGATTAGATGATCAATGATATCTATAATACCAATTAGAGATTGGATATCTACTACATGACCTGGCAGCGTTGAATGTGCAAGTTTTTATAAGCCCACCCCATGTTGGATTGAAGCACCTTCTTCATAGGGGGGGTTAATAATCAAGAGTCGACATTATGAACGATATGAACATAGATGTCTACAATTATGTCTTCCAGTTAGCCAATCTCTATGGGAGTGTGTGAAACAAAAAAAGTGCTAAAAACAAGTGCAGACAAAGTGCATGCATGAAAAGCAAACAAAACTAGCCACTTTGAAGAAAAGCAAAGCAAATGCAAAACAACATGCAAAACAAAAGCAAGAAACAGAGCACACAAATAGCAAACAGAAGAGCAATCCAAGAATCACAAGAATAAGAAACACTAAGAAGATGAAACAGAGGTAAGAATAGAACAGATCTATTCAATCAGAAAGTCAAACAACAGGAATCTTGTGAACTGCCTCACAGCATGCTAAATTCTGGTAGCCTGTTTGCCGTGTGTTTTTTCCAGGAAAAAGAGATGTTCATTAATTAAGAGTCTACATTATGAACATTTAGATATGAACATAGACGTCTACAAGAGAAAATCAAGGCTGAGAGAGTCGATGCACTTTGCCCAAGTGTCATGCTTTTGAATTCCATCGTGCACACTCGTTCGTGTGCGTGTGCTGGACACAGAAAACTCCATCACCGCGAAGTTCCCGCATCGCGTGACTACTTCTCACTTATCCTCATATGACGAAAATATGTATTTTTTGTACATGATCAGAGGGGACATTAATGAATTATGGGGACCGTCTAAGGGGCAATATATCCATTTCAGCCAAGCCTTCAGATGGTTTCATGAAGCGACACCATGTGCGTCGTCTCCATGTTTCACGATGTTTCCATTGCCAACTCGGCTGGAACACGCCGACCGAGCGTACCAGGCCGGTGCTCTTTGGAGATGGCCAGGGTTTGGCCGTTGGAGGTGCAGTTGCCAGGGTTGGGCGGAACCATTTTTGCGTGGTTCTTTGATCTTGAAGTTATTGCCCACATGGAGGTGCCAATTTGCATGTCTATTGGTAATGCGGTTCTTGTGGCCACAGGCCTCGACCTCTCGGCTACCGCGAATTGTAAAATTGGATCTTGAAGTTCCACAAAAAGTGCACGGTCACGTGAACCTTACCTGGTTTTGCTTAAGGGGATGTTCTATTTTCCCTATAGTTAAATTACCATTAATTATGGTGAATATGTTGAATTTTTCCAGGTTCCTGAAGTATCTCCAGGTCCAAGCTTAGTTCAAAGAGAATTACAGCATGTCGTTTTGCCCCGACCTCGGTGGTCAGTGGGTGAGACAAGTCAGTGACGCCTTGGGGGAGTGAGGGGAGTGAGGGGAAGTGCGTCTCTCCAAACCATTTTTTTCATATTAAATATGTGTTCCCTAGAACTAACATGGAAGATCATGGAAGTGGATGGCACCACCTGTTTGGTCTGTGGATGGCACCATGGTCTTCCTTTCGGGGTCAGGACCTCCACATAACCATGAGGACGTTCCGAGGAGTGTATGTGTTCATATTCATATACGACTATATAAAGGTGTTGTTTTTTTTCCCGGGTTGGAACGGCGATTGTTCCTTGGCCTACCCACTGCATGTGCATCGAAGAGCGGCGATTGCTCAACCGTGACCGCGTGCACAAGGACCATCTGGAAACCCGGTCCCAACCAGAAAGAAAGTGTGTTTTTGATATACTTGAGATTCCTTTACATCACAAACCCAGGGCATCCATGCAGTTCCCACGATGTCGCTGGGAGTCCCAGTGGTTCCAGTTCGACGACCAAAGCATCAGAACCTATAGTGGTTTGCCTGGGATGCACTGGGAAAAACGGTTCTCTTTCTTGTTGGGACTGGCTTTCCAGGCTGTCCACCCGGCTCTGCAGCCGGCTCTTCGTTCGCGAGGTCACTCGCGCTTCGAGGACGGCGCGGGCCACGAGATCAAGGCTCACAGACCGAGACATGACCTGCCTCCAACCTAATCGTTTCTTGTTCCTAATAGTAATGGCCTCCGACCTAAAAGCGATGGCCTCCAACCTAATAGCAATGGCCTCCAACCGAATAGCGATGGCCTCCAACCGAATAGCTTCCTGGAAAGGCGTATGAACACTTTTTCTTGTGCGAAGGCCGTATTTGGACAGAATTTATCGTATGGACATTTTAATTAACGAATTAGCGTATTTAGCCGTATGGACAGAAAAACAATACCAAACTTTATCAACATTTTATCGACAAAAACCCAAACAATTATTGATAAAACCCCATCAAACCCAATATTCGGAGGAATTCCAGAAAATTTGTCCATTTGACAAAAAAGGCCGGATGCACAGATTTTTTGTGCGAACGTGTTTGAACAAAAAAAAAATGCACATTTGGATTCCCTGGTTCTTAAGAGCGGAAAAGAATGACTGGGTTTCGTGTTTCATGTCTTAACCTCGGGGCGCTGGCCCATTTTGGACGCAGACTTGGTCTTTCCTTTTAGGGCCTTTTTTTTCCCAGCGCGAGAACGAAACATCTCAAGGATCCCGTGCAAGGATTCGGAGTGGTCAGGGCATCGAGTTTCGAACGCGAACCGAACGGGTGGGGGTGGGATGCCTATCTTCGGTTTGGAAAAGCTGGCGATCCGGTTTGGATCCCGAGAGATCGACGAACTCGCAGCTGGTCTGCTACGTCGCACCCCCCCCCACCGTTAGTTCCTGTCTTTGGCCGGGTGAGCTTGGACAATCTGCACGGCACGGTGAGCTTGGGACTCTCCGAAAAGGAGAAAGGGACGGTGGACTCTCGAGCACTCGGAGGCGAAAGCCACAGCACGGCACGTTCGAACAGTGCGACTCCACGATGAAGCCATTTTTCCAACTGGCCCAGTCGGTACGGCCGCGTCCGTTGCGGAGGGTCTCCACTCGAAGATGTGGTGCGCCACTGTGTCGCACCGCGGCGCGGGGCAGCAGCGATCGGCAGGTCTTTGGGAGCGATACGATTTGGGACTTTCTGGAGAAGCTCAAGAGTGCTTGCCAGGTGTTCGGGGTGCCCAGATGGCTATAGTGGCTATATGCGAGATCCGCGCGCCCGCAGAATGCGCTCGATTCATCTATGCCGCGATAGATGCGCATGCTGCGACGGAACTCGTGGCACTCCGTGTGTTCGGTGTTCGGTGTGTTTTTCCTTTTCGGGGTCCAGCAGGTTCAGTGTGTTCAACGGGCGCGAGGGGGTGTGTTGGGCGACCAAGAGGTCGATGGAAGAGAAGAGATCATGTCAAGTCTACCAGCTGTTTCTTTGGAATGTGCTTCTGTTTGGGGGAGATCATATCCATGTGATCTCCAGGGTGCGGTTGCCCAATGGTTTGATGCTTGGCCCGAAATGGCCGGGCCAGGTTTCTGCAGTTCCTGAAGGCCTCCTGTCCTTCCCGTCCTCGGTCTTCGAGTTTTTGGAACTACGAAAGACGAACGCCCCGACGCATCGAACATCCCAGCGGAACGGGATGGCAGAGCCGCTCTGCAGGTTCGCGGCCCTGGAATGCTCGGTTCAGGTAGAGGAAGACTAGTCGACTGGAATGAGAGAATCCATTTGATTTTGGAATCCAAAGGAATCCAAAGGAATCTATATATTGGAGGCTCATTCCCTACTGACCACCAGTCCTGTATTGGTTTTATCTCACCACTCATCTCCTCACTGGTACTCGATTCTCCACCAGGTGTCACATCTGTTCGACTTCGTTTCTTTGTTTTTCTTGGGATTAATATCCATGTTTGAGCGACCGCATTCGACCTTCCACCACCTCAGGTTGGCCCTGAAGCTCCAACGGGACAGGGCGCCCCAGATCGACGTCGACGTCGGCACATGGACTCGATCTCTACCATCTCGTTACCGGGACGAACGCAGCGCTAGCAGGGTCCAAGTGGAATCGAGGCACATGCACTCTCTACTCAGATAACATGGATTCACGATTCGCCTCAAAAAGAGATGAAGAGATGAGTGTCCCCAACACCACCGGTTGGAATCCGGCGACCGAACGACCGGGCGAACGGGTCAACGGCAGGAGAGTTGGTTGTGAGGGGTGCGGGGGCAGCTCGAACAACAATGGGGTGAAAAATCCGCTGTGTTTCGGGTGCTGGTCGAGCGTGGCGATGTGGAGTCGGGTCCATCAATGCGGATTTGTGGGATTTTCTGAATGCAGGAATGCAGGAGGTAGAAAGAAGAGCCCGGCATAACGTTCAGACCAGTTCAGAGTTCCGACGGACATGTTTATGCCAAGACCTGAGACTGCCGCAAGTGAGACGCCAAGGCCGAGGCCTTGTCCAAGAAGTATCAGGCTGTGGCTGGATCAGGCCGAGTCATAATCGATGATGTGTGGGGAGGGCAGGGCCCCGATTCGAAGACAGATGCAATTCAATATAAAGCTTAGCTAAATGAAGATAATAAGAACCTAGTTGATCCTAATCCCTAATTGTAATGGCCTCCAACCTACTAGCGGCCTCCAACCAAGGATAAACCTGGAACGTAGGGATTTGGAGGGTTATTTTTTACTTTTTGACACACAATATTTGGTGTCAAGAATCGCTTGATACATGGGGCATCGATCATTCTGTTGCCAACTGTAATTGGCAATCATTGAATGCAGTTGGGTATCAGGAATGCAATTAAGCCGTAATTTGTGATCCGTTTTTGCATGTATCAAACTAACTAGGGACACCTCCCAGGCAACGATGGCCCGTTTGTGGGTTCGGTTCAGAAGTTCTCGACCAGTCTACCCAGCCAGGGCCAGGGGTTCTCCCTATTACGCACCCAATATGGGCTGCCTGGCTTTGAAAGCTTTGCCCAACCAGATCCCTTTCCACACGGGCCGGGCCCGCCCCTGAAACATGAAGCCGAAAATCCGTGACTGATGGTGGTGAGGAAAAAGCCGCACGAAGACGAAGGGTAGTTTGCTTTCTTTCGTGTTTGGGGTTCAGCGCTCACTCAGGATACACATTTAGTGATGATATGAGAGGAAAAGGGAGGGCAAATCCATCTTGAAATCGGGATGGACCCCGCAAACCAAACAAACACTGCCGAGGAAACGACCGCCAAAGCTGAAGAAGTTGCTTTTGCAGGGCCTCTTTCAGGAGGTCCACCGGTTCCACCTGTTTTATCGTATTGATGGAACGGTGTCCATTGATGGAAGCTTTTTGGAGGATGAATTCCGATGTTCCGATTTTTCGAAGGACAAACTCTTGCAGCCAAACTTGGGCTACTTGAGACGTGTTGTTCTGATAGGAAAGTACAAAGGCGGCTGAGAAGCCACCGGGAATATGTCCCTGCAGCGATTCCTGCAGCTTGGCCTTGGGACAACTGAATAGATCCAAAAACAGCATCTTGTGTTTCTTGCCAGGTCAAAAAATACACCCCAGGACGGCCTTCAATCGGCTGGTGGGTGAATCAAAGGTCCGTTCAACACCCCAAACACAAATCCATAGGACTGGCATATTTACGGATCAGTTGATCAGTTGGGGTGGTTTTATTGGTCCTATTACCTGCAACAGTCAGTAACAATGATATATGTCACTATTTTAGAGAAAGGCCTGCAACTGAACCATCATCATCCACCGGTAGACCTGATATATAGATCCAATACTCTATCTCCAGTTTCATGGGTCATGTTTTGGACTGCTTCTCCACGAGGTCAACATGAGGTCTATGCCTTCGTCCCGCCCACCTCGAATCCCAAGGCGTGTGGGGCCCGTGGGGTGTGTCAAGCCCTGTGTTTGGTGACACGTACTTGGTGGCGGAAGAGATGTCAATTTGATGTGATCTTTGGAGGGTCCAAGTAGCCAGAAGCTATAGCCAGAAGCTACTAGTAGCTGATACTGATGCCATCGCCACGAGTAGCAATGTGAGTCCGGTCTCAGGTCCGGTTCTTCACGTGAACGGCGATTGTGCCAACCAAAAACTCGGTCCAGAAAGCACGTGGGTCATCTTCCTCCGCCGGGCGGGCGCACCGCGGAACCCCCGTGTTCCGTCCAGTCGGCGGTCGTCGCGGGAGTCACTTGAGTCGAACACGAGGTCGGACGCGTCGCGCGGTTACGGGCGAACGAAACCACAGCGAGTCGACCCAGCACCACCACGCGGCGCGTGTTGGCGTCGTTTGGGGGGCCCAGCGGTGTCGGTTTCGAAGACAACCGAAGCGTCGCGGTGGTCCCCTCGAGCACAGGGTTTCCAAAACGGGGGGGGTGCTGTGTGCTCCCCACCCTTCCCCACCCACCGCCGTATGGGTTTGCACTTTGCTTTGCGCCGTATGGTCGCCCGCTTCACTGGCACCCAATTAACTGGGTGGTCATCCGGGCCCATCTCCACCCCAAAAATATGGGCGGGAACGTGTCGTGTTCCGGTCGCGGACCTCTCACTGGGTCATCGTGACTCTCGGTCGCCGGCGGGTGTTGTTTGCCTCCACCGCAGGACTCGTTGGAGGCAGTGGTGAAAGCGCACGGCGACACCAGCAGTTGGCAGATCCTGGACAAGGCGTCGCGGCGGTGTGGACTGAGGGCGCCGGCGTGACCGGGGGGTATAAACCGAGTCGGGCAGAAGCCGAAGTCCGTGGCTGGTTGGACAGTTTGGGGGGTTTGGGTATGAAGTCAAGAGGTATCCAGAAGTAGTATACTAGGGGCTTGAAGGAGCATTGGGGCCCTTGGGGCCTGCGGCACCAGCACTGTCCTTTCGCAAGATAGCCTGTACAGACGTCGTGAGCCTAAGCTAAATGCCATTCAAAAGAGCATCGTATACGCCTCAACAGAAGTCGAAAATATATCTCGCCTCACGTCAGATGCTTTTTCAGTGTCCCTGTGGTACACAAAAAACTTGGCGAAGGTGCCATGAACCATACAGAACCATCTAGAACCATTCCCGGGGTATGCAGGGATGCAGTGATTACATGAGTCCACTCACCGCCCTTGGACCCGCACCAAGCAAGGACGACCGGATTCGACTCATCATGCTCGGTTGGGGACCCATAGGACTTCAGCTGTAAAAGCATATGGCCTGGCAACAAAACAAAATTGAAGTGGTCAAAAAGCTGTACAAACCATAAGGTACAGGAGCAGTGGTGATGCTCACACAACAAAACAGATCAACACCGTGAGCTTTCTGAAGGCAAGCTTTTCCTGAAGGTTGCGGCAACCGATGCGCTTGAAACAAAACGGTCGAATGCAGGGAAGCCAAGTGTGGTTTCCAGCATGTGGATTGCGTCTCGATTCCATGTGGATTGTAGGTGAAGCACCAAGGCGATGCATGAACCCTCGGCACGCCACGCCTCACCGTTTCCATCCGTGTTCCACTGTTCCGCCGCCTGTGCCGTTCGCCATCGCGGCCGCCCCATGGCGCCGCGCGGCCCGCGTGGTGGGCGTCAGGATTGCACCTTCCAGAGCTACGCAGGGCTCTTGAAGCACCATGGCATGCCACCGTCGGGGGCCGCCAGGATCTGTTCTTGTTCCAGAGCGGTCGACCGAGCGTCGTCGTCGTCGTCGGACCGCGCTGGGACGGAACGACTGGCTTCAGGTGCTTGAAAGTGCAGCGCGGGAGCTCGGTTGGGAACGCCCGGTGATTGGCTCGGTGGAGTCGAAAAAGCCTAGCGCCCGGCCGCTCCGTTCGGTAAGGCCAGAAGCCCCGTTCGTAACTAGTAAGAATGCTCCGTTCGTAGCGATGCCAGGGGCCCTTAGTAGCGCCCTTGTTGCTATAGTAGTAAGGCCAGGAGCGCCGTTAAAAAAGAAGTCGCGTCCTCCTTGCTCCGTTCGTAGCGATGCCTTAGTATAGCTTCTTGCTCCGGTTTACTCAGGATTTACTGCAAAAACCAGGTCGTTCCCATGTTGAGTGTCTTGGACTACCCCGACCCTGGAGACCGACCGCCGGGAAATAGACGCATCGTTCCCCAGTGACCGGGGCGGGAAGAAAGGGTGGAGAAATCCGATGAAAATACCACTTCCAGCAGTCACAAAGGGGTGCTTAATGGAGGTTAGGGGTGCCCAGAACATCCACTCACTGGATGGGACTAAACACCACCCCGACATGTGATTCCTGGTTTATAATACGTTATACGATACAATTTATACTGTATTTATACCTGGATCTTCCCACTGTGCAAAGTGTGTGCCTTTTCATCTATAAAACCAGCCATGTTCGGCAGAAACCTTGCATAGTAGTATGGCACCACCCAAGTGGAGGAAATGTCTTTTCAGATCACATAAGGACCGTTCATATTTTCAGACGCTCTTTTTTGACATTCTTTCTGGCGTTCTATCTAGCATATCTTCTGACTCGCGGTTGAGGTCCGGCGGGCAAAACTGCCGTCCGGAGCTGGCGGTTGAGGTGCGGCGGGGAGCACTGCCATCCTGAGCTGGCAGTTGGGATCCGGCAGGGAACACTGCCGTCCTACCGCCACAGTGATGTAGGCTTCGAATGCCGTCAATGAAAAGGCCACCTTGCCAGTGATGCGCCAGTGTTCCCTGCCCGACCTCAACCGCAAGTGTTCTTGGCTGCGCAAACTCTGGCCATCGACCGGTAGCTCTCCGGCCAGCTGGACTGAATGGAGAATGAATCAGAGGATGGAACGTCAAGCATCGGAGAGAGTGACGCGTGGTTCGCAGCTACTCTGGCATGTGCAATGGAATACTTGGCCGCATCATGTCTTCAGGGTTGCCAACCTAGTTGGCGAGGACGCCAACAACGGTGTGTTCGTGCAAGCATCAACCGTGGTGAACACTATCGTCTATTCACTGCGCGGCAAGATCAACACCATACCCAACGACTATGATTGGGTAGATGAGATCAAGATCAACCCACTCATTGGGGATGGCACTGGCGTCGTCAACCTCGGCGCATATGGCTTCAGAGAGCTTGTGTCACAACAAGCTATGTCACAACAAGGGAAAAACCGCAAGGGCAACTGGAGCCGTGCTGGAGCGATCGAAGTTACAAAGGACTTCGTCAGAGGATCTAGCAACAGGGCCCCCAAAGCCGCATGGAAGAACGACCAGATCTCGGACTTCTACACCTCTGGAACCAAAGTAGAGCGCATCCAGAGATTCAAGGACATCCTCCCAGAGAACTGCAAGCCATTCCATGACGGTCTCGCGAGGCCTGATACGACAGGGACACAGATGAGGGCCTGTACAAGCGATGCAACGCATTCTTGGTCGAGCTCGAAATGCTGCTGCGGCAGGCGAATGGTTATTTCCACACCGCTGAGGGTTACGTCGTCAAATTGAGGGACAAATTGAGCTATGAAGAATTCAAGGCGTTGTTCTGGTATAGCCAAATTCCCGACTCGATCGGCAAGCTTCTCAAGTTTCCGCAGCCAGTCAGCGAATTCGCACCGCGGATCTTTGTTGGCCCTTACGCAATGGGTAGCAGCAGCGCCCCCCTCCGCTTTCGCCGAGAGCAGCACACTGTATGCCGAGACGGTAGACATGCTGATCGCCCGAGACTTCGAGAATCCGAATGCTGAGGAAATCCTTGCGGCAGATCTCATCAACTGCATGGGGATCAGGGAGAGCTTATCGGTGGAATACTATCTCCAAGAGATATCTTATGCCCGCTACACCGAGAAGAAGCTCATCGACGGCTCTCTGAAGCTCGTGATCCTGTATCACCGTTGGCACGCTTTCCTTTCCGCAGTAGCCGCGCAAAACCGGCACAGCGAGGTCAGAGACAGGCTTTGGCCACCCGATTTCCTGGCACTAATTACACAAAAGAAACAATTCGCGCTTCCTCCAAAAGTCACACGTCAAGTCTGCAAAACGAGCGTTTCGTACCAAGATTTCCTCCAAACTTCACGCGTCAAACCCCCAAAACGAGAAAATTTACGCGTCAACCCTCCAAAACGAGCGTTTCGCACAAGACGTCCTCCAAAGGCCAAGCGGGAATTCAACGAGCTCGTCGCGGCGGGGTTCCTGCCCGGGCAGCTGCAGCAACTTTGTGAATATCCTCGCGGGTCGACTCTGCCCCCACCGTCCATCGCTAGGCGAGACTTCCCAGCCGTGCGAGATGGCGCAGGGGCTTCCCTGCAGTTGGCGCTGTCGGCCGCGCAGCCCCACCACCAGGAGTCAAGCCTGCGTGCCCTTGGTCAGGACATGTTGGCACCGTCGTCTGGGCCATCTGTGGACAGCCGGCTCCGCACTTGGCAGACGATCTGCGATGCATGGGCTCAGCCGTGCTTTCCCCTGACCTTGGACAATGTCCGACGGGCATCGGCGTCGTTCAAGGCCCGGCGGTGCCTGTCGGCGAAGCAGTACTTCGCCATCGTGTGCGCATACCAACAGAGGGAGCTCGGGATCCCGATCGATCCCATCATTCGGCAATGTATCAAGGGCAACTTGCGCAGCATTGAGAGAGGCCTAGGCCCCAGCCGCTTGAAGGAAGCTTTCCCCCTGCCGGCCCTGCGGCTCCTGATTTGCCCCACTGACATCGAGCCTTTCGACTCCGGTCGCGTGGCCCATGCTGCAGATGTCTTGGTCATCGGGGTATGGTGGATGCTCCGCGAGGTCGAACTGGCGGCAGCCAGAGTTCAGCACCTGCAGGTGCATCACACCACAGCCACCCTGACCCTCCCATTCAGCAAAACCGATTGCGGCGGCCAGATGGTGTCCCGCGCTCCTTGGAGTGTGCCTGCGTGTCCGAGACACACGTATTTTGCCCATACCACGCAGCTGTCCGGCACCGCTCCCGCTCCCGACTGGCTCGCCGTTTTGGGACTCCACTGACCACCGAACCTTGAGGACGGTGAGGTACACGACAAAACCGAGACCATCGACATCATTCGCACGGTGCTGCGCCAGGCTGGGGTCCGCTTACCCGGACTACTGAGGGCGGAAGGGAAGTCCAGCGGTTTCACGGCCATGTACTCCGTGTGACGGGGGCCCAATTTTGTACTGCCGCCGGCATCTCCCAGAGCTCGTTCAAACCCACGGTCGCTGGAAGTCCTTTGCAGTCAAGAGGTACACGCAGGACGCTTGTCTGGCGAGCACTCCAGCGATGACTGGCACCAGTCGTGATGCACTGGCGCAGCTCACCCCCCACCACGAGGGGCCTTCGGCAGAGGACACCAGCCGGCGTGATCCTCCGGCCAAGCGTGGCCGCCCCTCCCCTGTCGCACGCCCAGCGGCAGAGGACCAGAGACTACAACAGCAGATCGAGGAGCTCACTGCCTCACTCTCCCAGCTACGAGCAGCCGTGCACCGGCCAAGTGAGGGCACCCTGGTAGTTTGGAATCGCAGCCGGATTGCTCACAAAGTGGGGATCGATGAGCAGCGCAACATCCCGGCCCAGTGGCGCACGCTGTGCGGCCGGCCGTACGGCTTGGGCGTTTTCCACCGAATTCCGGCCATTGAAGGAGATTTCACACCCTGTAAGCGGTGCTTCCAGTTGCCAGTAGAGCAGGAGTCGGCGTCCGAGGAGGACTCCTCGATGGACGACTCGTCCTCCACCGAT